TCTCCTGGCGAGCTCCTCCTTGCTCTCAGCTATCTCCTGCCTCGTACGCTCGAGGTCTATGATCTGATCTAGGACCTCCTTCTTCGCCTCCTCGATGGCTCCCGACGAATTCTCCGAGGGGTGGTCCTCGATGTACGCGAGGTCGTGAAGCTTATTGCCTGTATCCTTCAAGCCGTGCTTGAACTGGAGCTGCTTGCGTCTATTCTCGACCGCTGCCTCGCTCCTCTTGCCGCGCTTGCGGCCGCTCTTCTCGGTCCTTGCCGGTTGACTCCTCCCGGCCTCTGCCGGTGGCTCGGACACTGCCGAGCTCGGTGCGTTGACAGGTGCGACCGATGCCGCCCTTTTCCAACCTCGAGCCTCCGGCCAGCTCGCCGTGGCGCCCGCGGGCGCGCCAAGGCCCTGGTGGGTCGGCAACAGTGAGTGGCCAGCTCACGCTACCATGATGATATATTATGCCGATGGACAAGATATCTCTTTTCCATCTTGAGCCAAAATGGGTACACGGAGGAGGGTGTCAGAATCAGACATAGACATAGACATAGACATAGACATAGACATATACAAATACATATACTTATACATATACAAATGCATATGCATATGCATATGCGTATACATATGCATAGACATATGCATATACATGAACATGTACATATACATGTGCATATACATACACATATACATATACATGTACATATACACATACACATACATATACATATACATACATATACATATACAGAGACATAGACATAGACATAGACATAGATATTGACATTGACATATATATATACACAGATACATACTCATATACATATACATATACATATGCATAAACATGTATATATATATGTATATATACATATACATATACATATGCGTGTACCTACATATAAGCATATATACATATACAAATACATTTGCGTATACATACACCTACACATAGACATGTACATATACATACACATGTACGTATACATATGTATACATATACATATACATATGCATATGCATATACATATACATATACATATACGCATACATATACACATACATACACATATACATATGCA